ATAATGAGCATAAAATCTAAAAGGCCTTTTTGGCATTTTTACTTTTTTTTTTTTTTTTTGTGTTTTTGAAGCAGGGCCTCCCTGTAGCCCCAGCTGTTCTGGAACTCACTATGTAGACCAGGCTGGCCTTGAACTCACAGACATCCGCCTGCCTCTGCCTCCCAAGTGCTGGGACTACAGGCGTGCACCACACCTGGCTGCTCTTTATTTCCTTTTAACCTTTTTTTTTTTTTTGGTAACTATGCTGACATCCTGGAACAGTTAACAACACAGTTGGCATGAACCAGGCCTAGAATGCCACACCAGCTATCGGTTGTTCTCCCAGCAGTGTGACACTTGCCTGGGTACTTGCAGCTGCCTACAGCTGCAGTCCTTTTAACCTTTCAAAGGTTAGAAAAAGACAGTGATAATGCTTATTTTGTGCACTCACTGAAAGATGCCATGCCTTCTAGAGTCAATACTTATGAAGGGTTTAGAAAAATGGGAGGTAAGGGCTGGGGTACAGCAGCAACTCCTGCAGGGCCTTTGGTTTGATCCCCATCATTGCTTAAAAACAAGTAAGAGAAATGGAAGATTTTTAAGATTTTTAAGCACCAATGATGCCGTCTTTGTGCCAGTGCCTTAGCTTTGCTTGTGGTTTCTTCGTGTTTTCTCAGCCTCCATTTTCTCAGCCTCCATTGGAGGAATTTAAGCTAAACCAAAAAGACTCAGCCAGCAGGTCAACCCCCATCTGTACAGGGTTGTACTACCCATGTTCTCTGCTTTATGTGACCTTATGTGTGTGGATATCATTCCCGCTGAGGTGTCTTGTGGAACGCATTATCACATACAGCCTGTGGGATGCAGTCATGTGTTTGTTCTTTTTCTTCTAGAAGGTGCTGTATCATGCTTCCTTATTTCTATATTTTGTAGTTTTCTAAATGACATGCTTAGTGAGTAAGAATGTTTGTGTCTTTCTTAGGCTTATGATTGAAGTCAAGGCTTCATTGCTAGACAAGTGCTCAACTACTGAGCCATACTCCCAGCCCACGAACAAGAACTTGAAGAATTGTCAACACGTGAAGAGAAGTATAAACAACTTGACAGTCATATGATTGTGTATTATTCTTCTAGGATGGAAGATTTGACAAACCCTGAGGATATCTGAACAAACATTAAGTGTGACCGAAAGGTGTCTCTTTATGGTTATTTAAGAGGAGCATACTTGAAAAATAAAAGTCAGATTCACATGCCAGGTATCGCTTACTGTTACAGTCTTACTTTGTATTTGTTGAGCTCTTGGGCTGACTTCATTCCTTTGTAAAACTGAAAAATGACTAAATTAGGCAGAACCATTTTCTAGAGGTTTTAGAAGTAATCCAGCTGTGCCTTATCTGCCACGTTGTGTGGGTGTGAATCTTGTCTTAACTTGAGAGGCAGTTGACTTCACTGATGCCTTTTTTAAAAATATTTTATTTATTATTTTTATTTTATGTGTACACATGTGTTGCCTGCGTGTAGGCAAGTGCACCCATGTAGTGCAATGAATGCCCATGGAGGGCAGAAGAGGCTGTCGGATCCCCTGGAACTGGAATTATGGACTATTGTTAGCTGCCATGTGGGATGCTGGCATTTGAACCCAGGTCTTCTGCAAGAACAGTCAGTGTTCTTAACCACTGAGCCATCTTTCCAGCCCCCCCATACCTTTTTGAGTGTCATGCTGTAAGCCCTCAAAACCACAGGTGTTTTGCCGACAGTCGACTGCCGGTCATGTTGCTTCCTGGTACTGTCTTCCAGGTGTGGGAGATTTTGCCGTTAGCGATGTGAGTTTCCTCCCAGACCCCTGTGCTCTTCCGGAACAGCAGAAGAAGCGCTGTCTAAATGAGAAGGAAAAGCTGGTTTATGCACCTCTCTCTGGAGTTGGGGGTGTGCTCTATGACAAAGATGCTGTCTATGTCGACCTTGGGGGTAGCCATGGTTTTCAGGCAATGGTAAGTAGGAATCTTTTTCTGAATTCTCCTTGTTCTTTACAGATCTTTTCTTGTCAAGTAGTATATTCACTTCGTACTTAGTGAAGCTTTCTTCTCTTAATCCAAATTTATGATAAAAGTATAGATTATAAAGAATGCTTCATTGTACCAAGCAGAAAATAAGCATGCTATCCTTCACAACCATTCAGGTGTACAGTCTCCACAGTGGGCACCACTGCCAGTATGATGCCTATGTGCCTCATCTTTGTAGAAAACCAGAGCATTCTGGTGTTAAATGGATGTTAGATGTGGGGAGTTGGGGGAGGATTTTTCATATTTTTCTTCATTTAAGGTTTTAAAAAAAATTCTTTGACAGATTGGACATGGTGGCACACACCTTTAATCCCAGCACTTCAGAGGAAGAGGCAAGATCCAAGGCCCACCTGGTCAACATAGCAAGTTCCAGACCAGCGAGAGCTATGTAGTAAGACCTTTTCTCAAAAAAAAAAAAGAAAAAGAAAAAAGGAAAAAAACATTTTGACAGTTTCCAACATGTATATAATGAATTTTGATCATTGGCCCCCATCCCCTCTCCCTCCCTGTAGCCCCAGCTGGCCTGGATCTCACTATTTAGACCAGGCTGGCCTCAGTCTCACAGAGATCTGCCTGCCTCTGTCGTGTGCTGGGATTCAAAGGCATGGGCCACCACTGGCTGCATGTGTGTAAGGGCACCACATGAGTGTAATGCCCTCAGAGGACAAAAGAAGATGCCAGGTCCTCTAGAACTGGAGGTTCAGATGGTTGTTAGCCACCATGTGGGTGCTGGGAATCGAACCTGGGTCCTCTGCAAGAGCACTCAGTGCTCTTAACCACTGAGCCATCTCTCCAGCCCCAGCTTACTGTTTTTTTTAATGACCCACTGAGTTTGCATGAGCATAGGCTTGAGGTTATTTACTGGAGCCTGAAAAACGATTCCCCCTTCCTCAGTAGGCTTCGTCAGTGCTCCTCAGGGAGTGGTGGTCCTCCTGACCTCCTCCCATACATGTGAGAATATTGTGTGGCTAACCACAGCTTCTCCGCATTCATGAGCGCCCTGCATGTCCAGAAGACAGTGTTTCCAGTATTACTCCCCATCCTCCAGCTCGTACATTCTTTCTTCTCCTTGTTCCATGATGTTCCCTGAGCCTTGAGGGTAAGGGGGACTTCAAAGTTTTGTTAGGTTTTTTTTGTTTAATGATTTTTTTTGTGTGTGTGTGTGTGTGTGTGTGTTTTTGAGACAGGATCTCCTTG